CCTCCGTTCCACGAAACCATTCCCATTTTGATTTTGGTCAAAAATAAGAAAAGTGTAATTTTGGTTGACTTTCTAATTTTGCCCTTGATGTCATGGGAAAAAGTAAGATGTGATAGTTTGGCTATTAGTAAAAAAGTATGATGTGATAGGTAGGGTATGAAAAGGTAGGGGTAAAAGTGGTTTTTTAATATAAAGTAGAAGTGTTTTGTGGAAAGCAAAAAAAACAAAATGGGAAAGGTTTTGTGGAACGGGGGGAGCAGTATTCATTGTGAAGCAAGGTATCGTTCATATTGCTGTAATTCTGAAGCAATTCATGTGTTACGTACTTGTGAAATCTGCAACTCCCACCTCGATCGATTGCACCAAGCTAAAAGCTAGAGTTCCAGTGCCATTGTATATGTCGTCCTCATTGGAAATTGTAGGGATGAGATGGTTGCGTCGGATCCGCAACTAGAGTTTCGTCCCTTTGCTGTTGTACTCGTTGATCGCTGCTGCCATGCTTCACTTCATCGCCCTTAGGGTTCTGCATCGGCCTCCCTTCCAATCGATGTAGCGCATCATAACCCCTTTGATCCAATTGTCGGCCTCCCCTTTATTCGGCCTTGCTTTTGATCCAATTGTCGGGTGTACTGGAAATACGGTACAGCCGGTTGTACGGTATAATTTGTGGCGTTAGGCTATGTGGTATGGTGATGAAAAATAAGAGTGATGGGAGCTGATGAAATGTAAAAGTGTATGATGTGGAGTAATGAAAATTGTGTGTTGTGGACTTGTGGTGGGGTGATAAGTATGTAATTGAGTATTAATTTAATTGTTAAGAAATTAAAAATAAATAAAGAATACAAAACACCCCATCACCCGGTGAGGCCCGTCACCCCTGCAGGGTCACGCCCGGTGTGGCAAAGCAGAGGGGACGCAACGTCTGGTCACTGCTTCTGGGTCACGCCCCATACCACATAGTCTTATGGGGGCTTAATTGATAGGGGGTTTGACCACCGCCACGTAGATGCCATGTGTCATGTCCCTCCCATCACCTAAAGTTGTGTAATGATACGGTGTCTAACCCTATTAATGATTATTTCTTAACTTAAATGTGTTATTTATGTAATAATATATAAATGAAAATATCAATCTAAACATAATTCGGAATAAACGCATTGATTACAAAAAAATGAAAAAAATTACAACGAAACTAAAAAAAATAACAACATAAAGTTTATAAAACTAGTCGCCTATGTTCCATTTTGTCCGAATTTTCACCTTCTTAGCTTCTTCTCTACCGAACCGGTCAAGTGATTCGTTAGAGTCCACAACATGTGCATGTCATTGTTGTATTGTTTTTCTTGTTAGAGATCAAAAAACTTTTTCATCTATGTTGTGACCTCAATTATTGCGACTGGGCGGGCGGCGAGATTCAGGAGGCATAGAGTACTCTTCCTCGTCTTCATTGGAGTCATTCAAATTTATTTCGATCCAAGAGGAAGAATGTCCCGAACCAAGATCGATAGACGAATCCGTCTTGGACAGTTTTTGGACTTGAAGGCGCAGGACGGGATGTCACTTCGTGGATTGACGCATGACTCCTCACGCCTTGATACTCGTGAACGCTCCCTGCTCACGAGTGTATTGCATCAAGGCCTCTTTGATTATCATCTGGTCTCGATCATAACTCTAGCCACCTTTCTAATGCCTATTTTGCTCGTTCCAAATATCGGAGAACTTGAAGACCTTGGATTGAAGATCTCGTCATTTACTCAAGATCATATCGTTCGACCGGTATTGGTCGTGGCTGATCTATTCAAAAAGTTGAGTCCAAACCCGGGACCAAAAGTCTCACAATGTTTGATTACAACCTAACAAATATCGTTGAAGGAAGGTACGTAACAAAATAAAAATAACCAAAAAATTATATTAGAAAACCAAAAAAATAAAAAAATTGTATGAGTGAAGAAAATTTTTAACCGAAAAAATTGTAGTAAAAATTATAATTGAGAAAACATTAAATATATCAAAACGTAAAACGTACCGATCTAAGCATCTTTGGAGGTGTTGATATAGGCTCGAGCTAGGGCAACCTCCTCCGTCTCGGTCCATTTTGTCATGCCAAGCTTCGTAGATTTCTCCGGCAACTCATTCTTCTAATGTTTTCTCTTCAAAGGTGCCTCGTCACAATTTGTGGTTGGTTGAGATTGGGATGGTGGTTCACTTTGTGTTTCAGGAACAAAGTCATTCCCAAATTCGAGGGTGGTTTGGTTAAAAATTAGTCTTTGTTGGAACCAAGGGGAGTAGTTTTGCATGGGGCCAGGGTGTCGGGGAGTTTGGGCTATTTGGATTATTTGGGACCATTTAGATCGATAACAACTGTAAAAATTGAGATAGGAGTAGTTTGGATGGTTGGTATCTATCTTGAAGAATTGAGAAGAGAAGTAGTGAAGATTTTTTTTCAGAATAGAAGAGATAGAGAGATGTGTGAGTTGTATCATTTTGTGTAATTTTATTATGTATTTATAGAAGAAAATTGGGAAGATCTTTTTTAATTGAGGCTAATGGCTCTTTCGACCGTTGGGGGAGAGATTTCACCAGTTTCTGAGAAGAGCAACGTCCATGAATCCGTGATGGCGGTCTAGTCCCGTACGTCACGCTGCCTCTGTTGTTGCTGTCACACCGTGACAGGTGAAAAAATGTTAGCCCTCACGCCCATAACATATAGTCCAAGAGCATCTTTATCCAGTTTTCCTACTTCTCATTTTTTCCTCTTTCATTCTACATCACTTTCATGTAACTTTTCTCACACCACTTTAATACTCCCTCCGTCCTATATCTTTCTTCCCGTTGCGCAATTGCTTCTTTTTAGGGTTCAAAAAAGTTAGATAAAATAAATTTATAACCATATCTTTATTTTTTATTTTGTATGTATAAATTTTTGATGTAGTTTTCAAGTTGTTTTGTTCACCACTGTTCTTATAAAATAAAATAGTATATCCGGTACTTTTTTGTGTTATAAATATAAATTCCCGTAAAGTTGGAATAGTGCTCTGGAAAGAAAGTTTTAGGACGGAGGGAGTAATTTCTCATATTTTCCCTTCTTTTTTAATTGATAGACCTCACATGTCATAAATTTATTTTAATTATTTAGACATTTTTTAGTTTTCGATTTTATTATTTCCAAAGATATATGATACAAGTTGTATAATGAAAAAACACTCATACTAAGATTTTTGTTTTAATTTTCGATGCCAAACATTGCATTAAAGTTTATGTTTCATAGACAACATTAACCATACTTAGGGCCTGTTTAGGAATAGCGTTAGCCATTAGCGTTAGCGTTTTAAAAAGACTATCGACGGACAGCGTTTAGCGTTAGCGTTTTCAAAGTAATATGCACCCTTAAAATTTTATCCAAAATGATAATGCTAATCTCTAATGTTATTCCCAAACAGGTCTTTAGTGAAATACCAAAGAGAAACATTAATGTTTCGTGAATGTTTCTGTTTAAAAAGAGAAAGGTTAGTAGAGTTCTATAAGTAATGGTGAACCAAAAAGAGAGAAACAAAAACCAAGGGAACAGCTTACTAGTTACTACATTTAACTAATAGAAGTCGATCCTACAAAGTAATTAGTTATGGTAATCTTTGTATTTTACTTAGTTTTTATTATCAGAGAGAGTATGGAAATAACATTTTAAAACCACGACTTTAGAAATAAATTTTAAAAAAATAGTGAATATTGGTGTTTATTTTCTGAACCACGGAGTACGAGTGCTATTGGGCCTCTTATTTCCTATGAAGTGTTGATAGTAAAAACGAGTTAGATTCCAAAAACAAACAAATGCCAATTAAATTGTTATGAAGAGTGGATACTTTAGTTCAATTTGGATTCGATCCAAACCATTTCAGCTATTTGATGATTGATTGAATGTATCATACTATCATCGCATGTCTAAATTCACCATTCGATTCAGGTAATCAGTTCCCGTTTCTGTCTGAACAAGTCAATCAAATAAAAATCCAAATCTAAGTTCACAAGCAAAATATTTCACAAACTTCAAACTTAATATCTATAGTTTAAATTCTCATTTTAAAATTATTTTAGACTATTTAATATTTTTTGTTGAAATTCACAAACAGTAAATTTGTGAAATTTGTGACTGATCATTGTGTTTGTGAATGAAGCATTTTCCTTAATAAAAAAAACACGAAACATAGGCCTTGTTTGGAACATGGCAGTTGGCAAATGGCTGTTGGCTATTTATGTTGGCTGGTTTGAATGGCTGATTGAGTTAGCTGTTTTGACCGGCTGTTTCTGTTAGGTGTTAAAAATTAAATGTTCAACCACTTTAGCTGTTTATAGTTAGCTGTTTGTGAGTAAAATTACATATAAAGACATCCCTCCATTTATGTTAATTTGTGTATGATTTTAAATTTTTTTAATTTGATAAAATACACACATTATACAAGAAAATGATTTACATATATATTTTTTGTTAGATAAAAAAGGCTACTTTGTTTTTTTTAATTTAAGAAATGAGATTTTACATTTGTATTTTATAAGTAGAGTTTTTTGTATTTTTCTCATTTATCATTCTACAAATAACAACCATGCATGATATATTTTATTTTATAATTTTTTAAATATGATATCATAAATATATAAAAATACTCTACACCAATTTTAAATATGATATCATATATTTTTTAATACACTCTACACCAATTTTAATTTTTTAAATATGATATCATATATTTTTTTGTTGAACAAAAAGGGGTACTTCATTTTTTTTTATTTAAGAAATGAAAATTTACATTTATATTTTATAAGTAGATATTTTTGTACTTTTCTCATTTATCATTCTACAAATAACAACCATGCATGATATATTTTATTTTATAATTTTTTAAATATGATATCATAAATATATAAAATTACTCTATATCGAGAAAAAAAGTAGGAAACAGAAAAGAGGGTCAACTGTTAAATGAAATGCTGTTAGGGTTGACATTTCAATTTTTAGCTGTTCGGTTCTAAATGCCAATTCCAAAAACCATTATCCAAACAATCAATTTGGCGATTTGACTAATCCAATCTGCCGTTTATGATCAAAGATATGACAAATGCAAGGTGAATCGCCAGCCATAGTTTGCCAATACATATCCAAAGGAACAACCCTGATTGGCCTAGGGGAGACGATTAATCATCTTGCATACGAATCCTGTGATAAAATAAATTGCAGGCGATGTATTCCCAATCATAAAAAACAACAAATAAAAACTCAGACAATTTTATTAAATTAAAATATGAATTATTTGGACCTTAAATTATTTGCTGCATAACACAGACACCACCATAGAGCCAACCAAACACCACAAACAACAGAGAACAATCAACACATACTGAGGCAAATAGAGAAGCAATTCAGAGACCCCCACGGAGACGAAGGACAAGGTGAAGCGTGGACTCCTTCTGAATGTTGTAGTCCGCAAGAGTCCGGCCGTCCTCCAGCTGTTTTCCGGCGAAGATCAGCCTCTGCTGGTCCGGCGGAATGCCCTCCTTGTCTTGAATCTTTGCCTTCACGTTATCGATCGTGTCAGAGCTTTCAACCTCCAGAGTGATCGTCTTTCCGGTCAGAGTCTTGACGAAGATCTGCATGCCTCCCCTCAGGCGGAGAACAAGGTGGAGGGTGGATTCCTTCTGGATGTTGTAGTCGGCAAGGGTCCTGCCGTCCTCCAGCTGTTTCCCGGCGAAGATCAGCCTCTGCTGGTCCGGCGGGATGCCCTCCTTGTCCTGGATCTTAGCCTTGACGTTGTCGATCGTGTCAGAGCTCTCAACCTCGAGCGTAATCGTCTTTCCGGTGAGAGTTTTGACGAAGATCTGCATGCCTCCCCTCAGGCGGAGAACCAGGTGGAGGGTGGACTCCTTCTGGATATTGTAGTCGGCAAGGGTCCGGCCGTCCTCGAGCTGTTTTCCGGCGAAGATCAGCCTCTGCTGATCCGGCGGAATTCCCTCCTTGTCCTGGATCTTAGCCTTGACGTTGTCGATCGTGTCGGAACTCTCGACCTCGAGAGTGATCGTCTTGCCGGTTAGGGTTTTCACGAAGATCTGCATCTGCGGAAATCAAAAACACAAAAACAAAATCAAAATCAGAATTTCTACGAAACGGAATCACGAAATCGGAAAATCAAACCGAAGCGATCTGTGCTTACTGTGAGAAACAGGGATTAATTTCTGAGCTTGAGAATTGAGAACTGGGAATCGAGAAATCAAACGATGGATTGGATGAAGGAGGGAGAGGATGGGGTGGTTTATATAGGAAGTTTGGCCGACATAGGAGGCGTGTTGAAATCTAGAACGAACCAGGACGGCAAGTTTCGTTCTTATCTTTACAGCGTCTTATTCTTTCCTTTTCAATAAGGAAAATGCTAGGGTGCGACACAGACAATTATTATCTGTGTTTGTCTGTGCGAAGCATGGGTGCACCCATGGTAGCACCCATGTGGTGGCACCCTAGCATGATCCTTTTAATAAAACTGAGCATATCGAGCTAAGGGAGCGTTTGGTTCATGCTGAGGAAAGGGAAAGGAAACAGGAAAGGGAATTGGAGAAAGACCAAAGTAGGACTAAAACATTGAAAATATACCAAAATAGGACTTCCATGTTTTTATTCCTGAAATAGGACTTACATTACCAAATATGGTTATATACATTACCAAAAAAGTATAGTAATTTGCACATGTACACTGTCACATTACCACAATGCAAAGTCACATTACCACAGTGCAAAGTCCTATTCCGGGAAAAAAACATGAAAGTCCTATTTTGGTACTTTTCTCTATGTTTTAGTCTTATTTAGGATAATTTCTAAAAGGGAATCAGGGGAAATGGAAATGATTACCCTTGAATTACTGTGTCTGTTTGATTCAGTATAGGAATAGGAATAGAATTCCCTTATTCGTGTTTGTTTCAAAACAGGGGAATCAATTTTTTTTACACAACTATGATTAATTTATTAAAAATAATACTTATTAATTTTATCAAACATACAATTAAACAAAATGCACACCTCACAAAAAAATTGTAAAAAAAATTTGTAACAAATCTGTAAAAAAGAAATTTGTAAAAAATATGTAAAAAAATTTGAATTCTAAAAAATATGTAAAAAAAATTTGTAAAAAATCTGTAAAAAACTTTGAAAAAATTGTAAACAATTTGTAAAACGACCACATAAAGAAACGCAGGGA